CTTTTCTCTTTTTTTGTGTACGGGACACATGATGCTGAGATTCGAATCATTGAGCATGCATTCCTCTAGCCAAATTGTACTAATCACCTGGTGCATGATTCTGACCAGCATCTGACTACCAGTCTTAAACAGTTCGGCTGGTAACCCGTCGGCTCCTGATGCTTTATTGTTCTTGAGCCCATTAATTGCTTTTATAACCTCATATTGGCTAGGTGGTATTCACTCTATTCCGTCATCTATTATTGGTAAAATTTTCGGACTTAATTTTGATTCCTGTACAACTCGATTTGCTCACGCTCACGTTTTTCTTGTTCTTTCTTCTTTTTTCTGAAAATACGTTTCTCCTCCCTCTTTTGCTCCCCATAGCTCTCCATCGCGTTAAGTGTTGCTACTGTCGGCAGAGTTGCCCTATACGCTGAATTTTTCACATCAGTACCATGGATTTCTTGATGGTGGTTTTTGGTACCCAAGTGTTGCTTTTGCTGTAGTTTGTAGGGAGTGGGAAATTCTTTGCCATTGTGCTTCTATACTATTATCGGGACACAAAGTGCTTTCGTCAAGCAGGTGGGTAAGTTGAGCGGGGTGGGCTTCTGCTATCTGTTGTGTTTGCAGCTTTTCGACGCACCTACATTAGATCGCACCTTTGCTGCTACATTAAGACGGGTGCGAACCTTGGCTGCCACAGGGTAATGGTCCGAGTCGATATTCGCTCCTCGTATCGATCGAACGTCTAATGCACTGGAAGAATGCCTTCCGTCTATCGCAAGATGTTCAATTTGATTTCTCGTTGCTTGATCAGGAGAAATCCAGGTGGCCTTGTTTATATCAAGATGCTTGAATCTGGTACAGCTAACTACCATGTCTTTTGCTGCCGCGAGGTCTATCAACATCATGCCGATGTCGGATGTTTTTTCATAGAGGCTGAATTCTTCAACGATTTTGCATTAAAATAGCCTAGCAGAATTTTAATGTCATGGCCATAATGTGCTGTTTCTAGGCGCTCGTAAAATATGTCTTTGGTCTGCTCAACTTTGTCTTCGGTCAGAGAATGGGCGCATATAAGACTGATGGAGAAGAACTTCGCTTTTATACGGATTATAGCAATTCGCTCATCTACTGGAGTGAATCTGGAGACGAGGTCTTTTATTCTCCTGTTAACCATAAATCCGCAGCCAAATTCATGTCTCGTTTCATGGCAGCTATAATGCAGGACGTAATCATCTGATTTACTTATGCCAGTCCCTTTACATCGCATTTCCTGTAAGGCAATAATATCGGCTTTGTACTTTTCGAGTACATCCGCCACATTCCAAGTGCAGATTCGCAGATCGTGGTCCTTTGTACGTTTGCGGGGTTGTCAACATTGGGGGGGTTGGTTTTCTTTTTCTTTGCTTTTTCATATTAGGAGGAGTTTTCCGAGTGTGGGCAACTAACCCGACGCCTCAACTCAATTTTTTATAGTTCTTATGGGTGAACTCGCGGCACATATCAGTTCACTGTTTCAACGGGTGATGAAAATAGCTACCCCATGTGACACCGCGGGGAGGTCAGTGTCCACAATTGAGATGGAAGAGGGACTTGGATTTCGCCATGTTAAAGCTTGGTATCTATCATCCCCTATGTCAACCCGCCTATGAATAATTCTTTAGAAAATCCACATCTTTTGGAGAAAAATAATTCTTTAAAAAATCCACGTCAGTTAGTCCTTGAAAAAAATGTCCTTTAATATTTTATTTTTTTTTACATTTTTTATATCGCATTCTCTTTGACAGGTGCAGCTGTGGGATTTGCCAAATAGGCAATTAGATCATTCTGTGTTTGTAATTGTGTCTGTAATTGCATCAGCCAGATATTGTGGACTTCTATAGATTTCCCTTGACAAATGATGGACGGTAATTTCATTCTGGGATCGGTACAGGTCAATATGAAATGCGTTTTGTCCAATGGCTCTACCTTGACTTTGTTCATCTGCAAAAAATAGATTTTTTAACATTTTTTGAAACCCAAATAATCCAAAATCTTACTGGAATTTGAAAACAACATGTATAGCATGGCGTTCCCGCCGCCTTTATTGTTTTGATCTTCTGTTTATCGGTGAACACCAACAGGCGATTGAATAGGAACACATAGTGTACCCATTTCTTGCCCTCATACTGACAGTTTAGATATTCATGATATATTAATTTGCCATGATCGTAAATATCACCATCGAAATTCTCCATATCCTCCAGAATGCTAAGTTCATAGATATGTTTTCGGACTTTCTGTGGAATTTTTGGAAGTGATTAACCTAAGATTTTGGGATTTTCTTTTTATATTTTTTCATTTACCACAATCATTTCATATGCCCCTTGCATAGGTTCCCAATCCCCATCCACATCCTGCAATTTGTTAATAATATCCAAAAATAAGGATTCGTATTTGGCAAATCGTAGGACCGGAATTTCCAACAATTCACTTAGCTGGAAAAAAAATAAAAAAATAGATATTGAAAAATAATCTGAAATGATCCTCTACTTCTAAATTATCATTCTAATTTATTGACCTTACCTGCCATTTGAAATTTAATTTTTCCTTTACCGACTTAAAATACTCCCCATACTCCTTGACAATATATTCGGCATTTGATAAATTATTACAATATTTGGCATACATTTGAAATTCAGCATCAAATTCCATGAGAGATTTTCCCAAATCCACTGTACAGTGACGAAATTTTGTAAAAATGTCCAATAGGATGCTGAAATCGAAATATTTATTACATAGAATATCGGAAAAAAAATCGAAAACCCACAACTTACTCTTTGTGAAAATAGAAAATATCTTCAATATTGCTAAACACTATTAATCTTTTACAGCCCCTTAAATCGTCGGGAATTTTTATTAATGGTGTTGCTTTTCGAAATTCAGACAAGTAACTAATTTTTGGAAGAAAATAAAAAAATAAAAAACCGATTATTAAATTGATTAAAAAATTTTGAAGACTCCAAAATAAATTTTTAAAGAATATTTTTTTCAAGGGCCATTGTAGGCGTTTGGAAAAATGAGATAAGAAAAAAATGTTAAACATTTTTTTATAGGTCCACATAAGGCGTGTATTTTTTTAAAGGTCCACATAAGGCGTGGATTTTTTAAAGGTCCACATAAGGCGTGGATTTTTTTAAAGGCCCACATAAGGCGTGGATTTTTTTAAAGGTCCACATAAGGCGTGGATTTTTTTAAAGGTCCACATAAGGCGTGGATTTTTTTAAAGGTCCACATAAGGCGTGGATTTTTTTAAAGGTCCACATAAGGCGTGGATTTTTTTAAAGGTCCACATAAGGCGTGGATTTTTTTAAAGGTCCACATAAGGCGTGGATTTTTTTAAAGGCCCACATAAGGCGTGGATTTTTTTAAAGGTCCACATAAGGCGTAGAATTTTTTAAAGGTCCACATAAGGCGTGGATTTTTTAAAGGTCCACATAAGGCGTAGATTTTTTAAAGGTCCCCATAAGGCGTGGATTTTTTAAAGGTCCACATAAGGCGTGGATTTTTTAAAGGTCCACATAGAGCGTGGATTTTTTAAAGGTCCACATAGGGCGTGGATTTTTTAAAGGTCCACATAAGGCGTGGATTTTTTTAAAGGTCCACATAAGGCGTGGATTTTTTTAAAGGTCCACATAAGGCGTGGATTTTTTTAAAGGTCCACATAAGGCGTGGATTTTTTTAAAGGTCCACATAAGGCGTGGATTTTTTTAAAGGTCCACATAAGGCGTGGATTTTTTAAAGGTCCACATAAGGCGTGGATTTTTTAAAGGTCCACATAAGGCGTGGATTTTTTAAAGGTCCACATAAGGCGTGGATTTTTTAAAGGTCCACATAAGGCGAGGTTTTTTTTAAAGGTCCACATAAGGCGTGGATTTTTTAAAGGTCCACATAAGGCGTGGATTTTTTAAAGGTCCACATACGGCGTGGATTTTTTTAAAGGTCCACATAAGGCGTGGATTTTTTTAAAGCTCCACATAAGGCGTGGATTTTTTTAAAGGTCCACATAAGGCGTGGATTTTTTAAAGGTCTACATAAGGCGTGGATTTTTTTTAAGGTCCACGTAAGGCGTGGATTTTTTTAAAGGTCCACATAAGGCGCGGATTTTTTTAAAAGTCCACATAAGGCGTGGATTTTTTTAAAGGTCCACATAAGGCGTGGATTTTTTTTAAGGTCCACATAAGGTGTGGATTTTTTTAAAGGTCCACATAAGGCGTGGATTTTTTTAAAAGTCCACATAAGGCGTGGATTTTTTTAAATGTCCACATAAGGCGTGGATTTTTTTAAAGGTCTACATAATACGATCGATGATTAATCCAAATATTGTGTATCCATTTTATTTTTAGGTTTTTGTTGTTGTATTTAATTATTATTATTTTTAATGTTTACCCCTCAACAATGACCGATAATTTTTCCACATAGATTTTTTCACTCGCCACTAATTCGGATAGGACATTTTCCAATTTTCGTAAATTTACACTTGTTGACCTCCTCATTTTTTAGGTTATAAATATATATTTTTTATTTTCTATTATAATTCGTTGTAACTTTTTTCTAAATCACGTTGTAGAACGGCGAACTCTTGCTTCGAACTGATCGTATAAATTCTTATTTTATTTATATATAAATTTTTGTGGCATAGCCACAGTTCGACAAAAAACCACATCCATCAGCTCATTCATCAGCAGAAAATAGCTGTTTTTCATTCTTCGGAAATGTGAACTAAGTGAGAATAAGTGATTAAGTTATTCTTTACGTCAGAAAGTCGATTTTAATGGCATATTTTTAAAAGAATATATGAGAGGATATTTTAAATAATATTTTTTTTTTGAAATACTACAGACAGACGTGGATATTTTAAAGAATATTTTTTTAAGGACCACAGACAGGCGTGAATTTTTTAAAGAATATTCTAATATATTGTTTACTATTTCTAATTTTGTATTTATTTGTGATTTTATTAATCTCTTTTCTAGTTGAAGGCCATCGCTATTTTATACGCCGTGCCTGCTATTTTGGTGACTTGGAAAATACCCGAGAAGCGTGTGAAACCGATGATCCCTATTTACCTTATGCCGATTTGCTCGATTGCCAGGTATGCAGTGAAGATCTGTGCAACACCGATGTTGGCCAGCAGAGTAAGCCAACGTGGTATACAATTGCAGCATTCGTAATTGCATTGATTTTTGCCCGTATGTGGTAATAAGAATTTAAAAATTAAAAAAATATATATTTTTGTAGATTTCTATATTATTAATAAAAAATTATACAATTGTTTTTAATTAAAAAAAATATTCTTTAAAAAATCCACGCCTTGGGTGGACCTTGAAAAGATATTGTTTAAAAAATCCACGCATTAGGTGGACCTTGAAAAGTTATTCTTTAAAAAATTCACGCCTTAGGTGGACCTTGAGAAGATCTTCTTTAAAAAATCCACGCCTTAGGTGGACCTTGAAAAGATCTTCTTTAAAAAATCCACGCCTTAGGTGGACCTTGAAAAGATCTCCTTTAAAAAATCCACGCCTTAGGTGGACCTTGAAAAGATATTCTTTAAAAAATCCACGCCTTAGGTGGACCTTGAAAAGATATTATTTAAAAAATCCACTCCTTAGGTGGACCTTGAAAATATATTCTTTAAAAAATCCAAGCCTTGGGTGGACCTTGAAAAGATATTGTTTAAAAAATCCACGCCTTGGCTGGACCTTGAAAAGATATTGGTTAAAAAATCCACGCCTGTCTGTGGCCCTTGAAAAAATATTCTTTAAAAAATCCACGCCTTGGGTGGACCTTGAAAAGATATTGTTTAAAAATCCACGCCTTGAATGGACCTTGAAAAGATATTCTTTAAAAAATCCACGCCTTGGGTGGACCTTGAAAAGATATTGTTTAAAAAATCCACGCCTAGGGTGGACTTTAAAAAGATATTCTTTAAACAAACCACGCCTTGGGTGGACTTTAAAAAGATATTCTTTAAAAAATCCACGAAAAAATATTCTTTAAAAAATCTACGCCTAGGGTGGACCTTGAAAATATATTCTTTAAAAAATCCTCGCCTTGAATGGACTTTGAAAAGATATTATTTAAAAAATCCACGCCTTGAATGGACCTTGAAAAGATATTCTTTAAAACATCCACGCCTTGAATGGACCTTGAAATTTTTTTTTTTTTTTTAAAATCCACGCCTTGGGTGGACTTTGAAAAGATATTGTTTATAAAATCGCCGCCTTGGGTGGACCTTGAAAAGATATTCTTTAAAAATCCACGCCTGTCTGTGGACCTTGAAAAGATATTCTTTAAAAAATCCACGCCTTAGGTGGACCTTGAAAAGATATTCTTTAAAAAATCCACGCCTTAGGTGGACCTTGAAAAGATATTCTTTAAAAAATCCACGCCTTGGGTGGACCTTGAAAATATATTGTTTAAAAAATCCACGCCTTGGGTGGACCTTGAAAAAATATTCTTTAAAAAATCCACGCCTTGTTTGTGGACCTTGAAAAAATATTCTTTAAAAAATCCACGCCTGTCTGTGGTCCTTGAAAAAATATTCTTTAAAAAATCCACGCCTTAGGTGGACCTTGAAAAGATTTTTTTTAAAAAATCCACGCCTTAGGTGGACCTTGAAAAGATCTTCTTTAAAAAATCCACGCCTTAGGTGGACTTGAAAAGATTTTTTTTAAAAAATCCACGCCTTAGGTGGACCTTGAAAAGATCTTCTTTAAAAAATCCACGCCTTGGGTGGACCTTGAAAAGATCTTCTTTAAAAAATCCACGCCTTAGGTGGACTTGAAAAGATTTTTTTTAAAAAATCCACGCCTTGGGTGGACCTTGAAAAGATCTTCTTTAAAAAATCCACGCCTTGGGTGGACCTTGAAAAGATCTTCTTTAAAAAATCCACGCTTTAGGTGGACCTTGAAAAGATCTTCTTTAAAAAATCCACGCCTTAGGTGGACCTTGAAAAGATCTTCTTTAAAAAATCCACGCCTTAGGTGGACCTTGAAAAGATCTTCTTTAAAAAATCCACGCCTTGGATGGACCTTGAAAAGATATTGTTTAAAAAATCCACACCTTGGGTGGACCTTGAAAAGATATTGTTTAAAAAATCCACACCTTGGATGGACCTAGAAAAGATCTTCTTTAAAAAATCCACGCCTTGGATGGACCTTGAAAAGATATTGTTTAAAAAATCCACGCCTTGGATGGACCTTGAAAAGATATTGTTTAAAAAATCCACGCCTTGGATGGACCTTGAAAAGATATTGTTTAAAAAATCCACGCCTTGAATGGACCTTGTAAAGATATTGTTTACAAATCCACGCCTTGGGTGGACCTTGAAAAGATCTTCTTTAAAAAATCCACGCCTTGGGTGGACCTTGTAAAGATATTGTTTACAAATCCACGCCTTGGGTGGACCTTGAAAAGATCTTCTTTAAAAAATCCACGCCTTGGGTGGACCTTGAAAAGATCTTCTTTAAAAAATCCACGCCTTAGGTGGACCTTGAAAAGATCTTCTTTAAAAAATCCACGCCTTAGGTGGACCTTGAAAAGATCTTCTTTAAAAAATCCACGCCATAGGTGGACCTTGAAAATATCTTCTTTAAAAAATCCACGCCTTAGGTGGACCTTGAAAAGATCTTCTTTAAAAAATCCACGCCTTGGATGGACCTTGAAAAGATATTGTTTAAAAAATCCACGCCTTGGGTGGACCTTGAAAAAACATTCTTTAAAAAATCCACGCCTTGGGTGGACCTTGAAAAAACATTCTTTAAAAAATCCACGCCTTGGGTGGACCTTGAAAAAATATTCTTTAAAAATCCACGCCTGTCTGTGGACCTTGAAAAGATATTCTTTAAAAAATCCACGCCTTAGGTGGACCTTGAAAAGATATTCTTTAAAAAATCCACGCCTTAGGTGGACCTTGAAAAGATATTCTTTAAAAAATCCACGCCTTGGGTGGACCTTGAAAATATATTGTTTAAAAAATCCACGCCTTGGGTGGACCTTGAAAAAATATTCTTTAAAAAATCCACGCCTTGTTTGTGGACCTTGAAAAAATATTCTTTAAAAAATCCACGCCTGTCTGTGGTCCTTGAAAAAATATTCTTTAAAAAATCCACGCCTTAGGTGGACCTTGAAAAGATTTTTTTTAAAAAATCCACGCCTTAGGTGGACCTTGAAAAGATCTTCTTTAAAAAATCCACGCCTTAGGTGGACTTGAAAAGATTTTTTTTAAAAAATCCACGCCTTAGGTGGACCTTGAAAAGATATTGTTTATAAAATCGCCGCCTTGGGTGGACCTTGAAAAGATATTCTTTAAAAATCCACGCCTGTCTGTGGACCTTGAAAAGATATTCTTTAAAAAATCCACGCCTTAGGTGGACCTTGAAAAGATATTCTTTAAAAAATCCACGCCTTAGGTGGACCTTGAAAAGATATTCTTTAAAAAATCCACGCCTTGGGTGGACCTTGAAAATATATTGTTTAAAAAATCCACGCCTTGGGTGGACCTTGAAAAAATATTCTTTAAAAAATCCACGCCTTGTTTGTGGACCTTGAAAAAATATTCTTTAAAAAATCCACGCCTGTCTGTGGTCCTTGAAAAAATATTCTTTAAAAAATCCACGCCTTAGGTGGACCTTGAAAAGATTTTTTTTAAAAAATCCACGCCTTAGGTGGACCTTGAAAAGATCTTCTTTAAAAAATCCACGCCTTAGGTGGACTTGAAAAGATTTTTTTTAAAAAATCCACGCCTTAGGTGGACCTTGAAAAGATCTTCTTTAAAAAATCCACGCCTTGGGTGGACCTTGAAAAGATCTTCTTTAAAAAATCCACGCCTTAGGTGGACTTGAAAAGATTTTTTTTAAAAAATCCACGCCTTGGGTGGACCTTGAAAAGATCTTCTTTAAAAAATCCACGCCTTGGGTGGACCTTGAAAAGATCTTCTTTAAAAAATCCACGCTTTAGGTGGACCTTGAAAAGATCTTCTTTAAAAAATCCACGCCTTAGGTGGACCTTGAAAAGATCTTCTTTAAAAAATCCACGCCTTAGGTGGACCTTGAAAAGATCTTCTTTAAAAAATCCACGCCTTGGATGGACCTTGAAAAGATATTGTTTAAAAAATCCACACCTTGGGTGGACCTTGAAAAGATATTGTTTAAAAAATCCACACCTTGGATGGACCTAGAAAAGATCTTCTTTAAAAAATCCACGCCTTGGATGGACCTTGAAAAGATATTGTTTAAAAAATCCACGCCTTGGATGGACCTTGAAAAGATATTGTTTAAAAAATCCACGCCTTGGATGGACCTTGAAAAGATATTGTTTAAAAAATCCACGCCTTGAATGGACCTTGTAAAGATATTGTTTACAAATCCACGCCTTGGGTGGACCTTGAAAAGATCTTCTTTAAAAAATCCACGCCTTGGGTGGACCTTGTAAAGATATTGTTTACAAATCCACGCCTTGGGTGGACCTTGAAAAGATCTTCTTTAAAAAATCCACGCCTTGGGTGGACCTTGAAAAGATCTTCTTTAAAAAATCCACGCCTTAGGTGGACCTTGAAAAGATATTGTTTAAAAAATCCACGCCTTAGGTGGACCTTGAAAAGATCTTCTTTAAAAAATCCACGCCTTAGGTGGACCTTGAAAAGATCTTCTTTAAAAAATCCACGCCTTAGGTGGACCTTGAAAAGATCTTCTTTAAAAAATCCACGCCTTGGATGGACCTTGAAAAGATATTGTTTAAAAAAATCCACGCCTTGGGTGGACCTTGAAAAGATAATCTTCAAAAAATCCACGCCTTGGAAAGATATTCTTTAAAAAATCCATGCCTTAGGTGGATCTTGAAAAGATCTTTTTTAAAATCTCATCCCATCTCAGAACTAGATTTGAGTTTGGAAGGAATATGATAATGTGCAAAATTTGGTTGAAATCGGTTACTCCCTTCGGTCAAAATTAGTATTATAAAGCTAATTAAGAAATCTTGCACGGGCTTGTTTAGCTGATGACGTCAGCGGTCGATTCGTTTTTGCCAACTTTGCAATTTCAAAATTTACAACTGGAGATGATTTTTTGCTACCAGGCGACCAGAATGCAAAAGCAATGGCTTCAGCTATGAAAAAGAACTCTAGTTGTCATTACAAAATAGGGAAATAAAATTTGTTTGCCAACCAACCAAACATTTGATACTAAAATCCAAAGCATGCTT